TAATTAAAGTCTAAAGCATTTTCGAAAACAGTTGAAAAGAAGAAAGAAAGAAGTGAGTAGCCGGCAAATGAAAAGCTGGCGAAACCAGGCGTTAAAGCAGGCTGGGCGAACCCTTTTAGCTCGTGTGGGAGCTGGCGACGTCAGGCCTGGGGCGAGCTCAAGCAGGCGTTATACCTCGCGACGCCAGGACTGGAGTGAGCTTAAGCTGGCATTATGCCTCGCGAGGCCAGGTTTGAGACGCGCACATTCCGAGCTTTGAAGACTTACTTCGTCTCCTGGTTTGACTAGGACTTGGCCTACGCGTTTAGGTCTCCTCCTACACATATAAATAGACCTAAAAACGCCACTTTTGAGGACTTTTGGCAACCAGAGGCAAGGATAGCTCGTGGAACAACCGTTGGAAGCTAGACTCATCGATTTCTACATCCCTTTATCCTTACTTTATAATTTAATTATGCAAAATATTTGGATATTGTTACTATGAGTATGAGTAGCTAAACTCCTAATCTAAGGTTTTGATGGAACCTATTGAAGGATGATTTTCTTGTTACGTTAATATAGATTTGCCGTAATATTTTCTCTATTTGTTCAACTATAATATTATTGTGGTTGATTGAATGGCCCTCAATTGCCTGTGCCTATTTAGTATGTATTACTCAGGAGAGAGTGCATATTTAGGTAGTTGTTGAACAACATCACTCCTAACGTATATGAGGGATCAATACGAAGGGTTTAAAGGTGGGATTAGGGATAACGAATCCTTGGTGCGATCCGAGTGAGCCGTACTTAATGCTAGCTAGCATAATTCGGAAAAATATGTCTAGTAAATTATGGTAATTACTCGGGAGAGAGTTACAACAGTCAGAGTGCTCATGATCGATAGAGAAGACTTAGGCAAATTTATAGAAAACGTAGCGGAAAAGATTCCGACAATAGGGGAAATCACAACCTTAGATCATTCCAATTCTTGTCTACAACCCGTTAGTAGTTAGTTATTAATTGTTGCATTTTCATTACGTAATATTTAGTTAGTAAACATCCAAATTGTTACTTAAATATTTCTGAAGATTGATTGCGTGAGTTCGTGCGAGTCTAGTAGCTGTGTTTGATAGGTTAATTCCCTGTGGGATTCGACTCCGGACTTATTAGCCGGAATATATTTGCAACGACCGCTTAATCCTTTTTATAAGACATAGTTAGACGTGATCAATTACTACTACTAACTAGTAAAGATAATGAATAAAATAACTTCATTCGTTGGACCAAGAAAAAAAATGAACTCATTTTTGCTGGATCAACGTCTTGCTCTATATTGGGAGAAATTTGGAAGGGTAATAAATAAATAAAAAGTAAAACTAATGGTCAGCTATTAGAAATATAAAATAGTATATATCCATATTAAAGTTCTCGTCTTTTCTTTATAATAAGATAAGAAGATGAGAGCAAGAGAGACCAAGTAGATTTCCGAAAAAAGCAAGAAGAAGTTCCGGTTGCATAATAAGTAGTGACAAATTAAACAATTTTCTATAAAATCAAGAAAGCTTGATTTGGTTGAAAATAAGAAAGCAGCATCTAGAATGGACTAGTCATTTCAGAGACAGAAGCTTGAATTGCTGTGTGTCTATACATAAAAAATGGACAAATATTTTGACATATGCGTGTGTGGTCTGATGATGCTATTTCATCTGTTGGAGCAGGTAAATTACAAGCAAAAATGTCCAATCTATCTCTGAAAAAGAGCTGACATTTCCTATTATGCTTAAGAATCCAATGCTATCTGCAAATTCTCAAAAAAGTTAAAAAGAAAACAAAACTTCTTACATCCTGCGGTATTAAATATTATGGTCCAAACATTAAATATCTTACCGAATACTACTATAAATTTAACTTTTTTAGCATGTACTGCTACTATCTTTCACAAGTAATCATAACCATTTCTGTAGTCAAAGCACTGTCAATAATTTATCAAATTATCTTAGTCAAATTTCTCCATATTTACACATGCCTAATCATCAGCGTGAGCAGACCTACAACATTACTCATTTGATTTGAGCTATATGTATAAATAAAAAAGAAAACGTACTTATACTTCTTATCACAAAAGAATGGAGTACTATATATTATAAGGGCAACCCGGTACACTAAGTTGTCGTTATGCGCGAGATCTAGAAAATGCTGGACCACAATATTATATTGAATGCAGTGTCTATTATATTGTAGTAGACTTAAAAATCTTGGTTCCACTTTTCATTAACATAACTAGAACAACACAAATGAGAAAAGAATAGTTATTCTCATCATATATGGTAACAGTAAAGGAGAGTCAATTAATACACAACTATATTCCAAAGTCAATAACGTGGGAGCAAAGTCGTTTTACTCTATTTAGTCTTTTGGTCTTTTCTTCGCTCCTCTCTGTATAAAAGTTTGGCCATAACTGATGAAGTCTGCTACTTTAGTAGTAGTATATACCTTTGAACCAAACCAATAAAGCAAGAAAAAAGCCATAATACCCTTTGTTTCTCTTTCTCTTGAAACTAAATAAGAACCCCATTTCAGACCCCATCTCACCACAAAAAACAGAAGTATGGGTACAGATACAGAGGTAGCAGAAATGAGTTCAACACTAAAGCTTCCTCTGTTTTCAGTAGAGTCATCACAAGAGGATTTAGGGATGCTAACTCCTCTTCACACTTTAGCTTCAATACCTTTCAAATGGGAAGAAGAACCTGGAAAACCTCGTCCATGCACTGATCTTATCCCTCTTCCAAACTCCATATGTTTAGAACCACCTCCTAGGCTTTACAATATGGAATTTTCCAAGACATCTTCTTCTCCTACAACTGTATTTGATGGACCTTATATTACCAACAAGCCTAGGTTTTCTTCGTTTAGGTTGTTGAGGAGGGATCGTCGTCATCGTCGACAAGGGTCTTTTGATAGTACTACTAGCTCTGAAACAGGACAACTTAGTACTACACTTGTTCTTGGTAACAAGAAATCGGAAAGCAAAAGCTGGTGGCGTCGGCCGACTACTCATCATGTTAAACATAATGGCTGTGAGATTAATAGTGGTTTTGTGTTTCCATCTTCTATAGATTATTCAACAGATTGTGTTGAAGAATGCAGCAGTTCCAGTATAAAAATGGAAACATTTAGAAGAAGTGGAAGCTTCTCAGGTCACTCGCAAGCTAAGACTCACATCTGGGTAAGTGTCTTTACAACTCCACTAATTGTTCGTTCGTAATCAATTTATTATTTATATGTAGATTTTAATTTCATTAATGAATTTTGCTATTACTACTGTTTTTCTTCTGTCCGTCTCATGTCAAATTGCTCTATCTAAGTCATGATTCGTACTCTGCCTTTAACCCCCTTGTAATTAACGTACTATGATCTCAATGAACTTAGGAACATTGAAAGAAAGATGTACTTACTATATAGAGTCTCTACCCTAGATTCTTTAAGAAGATTGGCCGCCCCACCGTAGGCCTTTTGGCATGTGTCGAGGGGAATTAAAATATAATATATAAAAGTATAAACTGATCTTTTGAATCGGCGAATGATTCTGCCCCTAAATACGCCCTTGCGCCCCACCCTTTCCTTTAAGGGATCAACTGTTTGTTCTTTGACTATAAAACTTTCAATCAATATATTTTTAGTAAAATTCATGTTACATAGTTTCCATTTTTGTTTAAATAAAACTTGAAGAATAATGACTGAATTAATAAGAATCAACTAACTAGAAATACCTTACAGTTCCTTTTTGTAATGAGGGACTAATATGAACAGAGAAAGTACAGAACTAGTGGGGTGATAGAGTAATGAGAAAGCTTAATTATTGGGGCAGGTGAGGTTGAAGAAGACGGCAGTGGGGCTAAGGAACGCCTAGTTAACTTCACTTTTTAGGCAATGGGGGTAGGTATTACACAAACCCACAAATAGCTGTAAGCAATTATGTATCAAAATGTTAAAAGCTACTACTGTATTAATAGATGGGGTTGAATGAGTAGGTAGATGCTGTCCCAAGTTATAGGGCGTCCATTGTCATTGCAGTAAATAGGAAAGGGGCGAAGGATATGGGCTGTCTGATTGAAGCTGCTTTTGTAAAGGATTGGGAGATATCTGGAGACTTTTCTCCTTAGCATATTTTCTATCCTTGCTCTGCTATCATTATCAGCATTTAAAATCATTTGCGTGATTCGTTGGATTTCATAATTAAAACTCTTCTATTTTTCTATCAGCATTTACTAAACTCAAGTATTGGTCTTGTTGAAATCTTACAGGCAGCTATATACGAGGGTTTCAAGCAAGTAATACCATGGAAGAACAGAAAGTCTAAAAAGGAAGCGCTAATCGGCTAACTTTCAACATTAGCTGTTACATTAATTAAATGAAGACGTGATGGTGACGGTTGCTTTCTCTAGTCATTTAAGTACTCCTGGTTAAATAAGCAGGAGATATAAAAACAAATGCACTGTGGCTCTTGCCTGAATGTTGTATTCTACGATCTTTAGCCTTAAATTTCACCAGAACCAGTTGTAAATTTTAGTATGAGATCATTTTCTGGATGCCATTGTCACTTGTGCTTGCAATGAGTGAAAATCTCATGCAGGGCATACCAGTCAGAGCTACACATAATTACATCCAATTAGAGAAATGCAGCTAGTTTTAGAAGATGAAATTTTTCCATTAGCATCCCTCATAACNGTATTATAGAGAGACAGATAGTGAAGCCTTCCTCTCCAGTGGTCACCTACAGAAAATTTGAGTTTCCATCTTTACAAATGAAGAACTACAGTACATTATAGAGTGGAGATACTTCAAACAGTGAAGCCTTTCCCTCCAACAATCCCCTATTAGCAGATGATATTATCTGGTCACTTCAGTTATATACTAGGTTGCCAAACCAAAAGACGAAGGTGCTCAGATGGACCAAAACCTTGAGAGAGAACTAATCTAAAGCAATTCAAATAGAGAAGATCAACCGACACAAATCAGAATTAAAAAGCTTTTCAGATGCAATTGATAAGGTTATAAGTCGTCATTCAATATTTGAATCAATGTAGCACTGGCCATATCAAGTGCTTACAAATGAGGGAGAGCTCCCCCCTTCTTGCACACACATTTAACAGTTATCCACAAAAAGAGGACCTTATTTCCATTTCCAATCAGGATGCAACAAAAGGGATGGAATAACACTACAAAGAGCTGGTTGAAACTAAAACCTCACAAGTATCTTATCCTTGTTTTTTACCAGTCATACCAGCAACCACCTGCACAAAGTAGCAAACTACATTATATGAAGAAGAGAATGAAAAGCAGCTGAAGATCTTCATAGAAATACGACACAAATAACTTAAAAGCACTTTGATAGCATTTTAGTTCAGAAGCTTGTTTCGCGTCTTTGGAATGTTATATGCAGCCAATTTCTAAAGCTCAATTATATTAACCTTAGAGAGATATCTAGCAGCCAGTAGGACAATTTGAGACAAAGTGAATTTATGGATGTAGGTTGATTGAAAAAGTAGAGGTTAAATCTCATAACTCACAACTCAAATCTTGACTTGACTTAGCATTTATTACAAAAAATCATCACAAAAGCTGCCATAGTTTGATGCTCTAACACTCTCGTAGTCTGAGTCAAAGCATGTCACCTAATGGAAAGGAGAAGAAGTAAAAATGGAAGGCATTGATAAAATCCCATTTAGCATCCACAAGAGTGTGAACTAGCATAGCTCGTAAAGGGACCATTTATGTTTATCCAGAATAGATTACAACCTTTATGTATAAGCAAGAGGAAACGAACCAACATACATATCTGATGAGGAAAATGACCAAAAAGAGGAAAAACATGGTTGCATAAACCAGAAGTAACATAAAACAAAGATAGCAAATTACTCACATCGCTTAAAGCAGGTTGTGGGACTTGCTTGGATGATTCAAAAGAGTCCAGAATAGGCCTTACAACCGCAGGAAGGAAGAGACCTGAAATTGCAAGAAATATAAAATAAACTAATTCACAATCAAAGAGAAAAAATAGGTGGGAATAAAAGTCAAGAAGTGTCCTTTCAAAACGCTATCCAAATTTTACTACTTCAGTAGGTAATTAAATATATCATCATTTCACGATGCATATGGACGCCGACTTATCGAGTCGGTATTCGGATTCACCAAGTTATTTAGCAATGCAATTCTCTTGAACGAATCATACACATTTTTCTAGCAGAAGGGCATCCCAGTAAGGCTGACCTAATGCTTAGTGCCATAAAGGAAACTAATCGACAAAGTGTTACTGAGAAGAGATAACAGACAACACCCGACTGACAGCCAGTAAAGACCTCTCTGGAAGCACAGAAGGGAAAAAACAGAGAGTTGTAGGTGAATTTTACTTGCATGATCAATGGCTAAACAGTTGCAGAGCTGGACTTCTCCAAATTCCTGTTACTAAGTCACTGGTTTTCAAACCCAGTGGATCAGATCAATATAGTGAGGTGTGTTTGCTCAAGAAGATATCCCACATTCCACTTATTGGAATCCCTCTATTTGATCAAAATCATTATCTGACAACGATCAACTTTTACAATTAAACTAAATATAATTACAAGAATATAGATAAACACATGCAGAAGCTGAGGTTGATAACCAACTGCTCTGCCCACCATTCCCTTTCAGTACATGGAAAGGACTTCCTGATATATACTTAGTATACTGTGGATTTCTCTGCTTGATTGCAGATGAGTACATACTTAATGCTAAAAGACAGAAAATGTACACTCTTCATTAGGTCTCATTCTGTCACTTCTGTCAAGATGGAGCTGGTAAACTAAACTAAGAGTCTAAGATGCATACTAGGGTTAACTGCAATAATAGGCCTCATAAATAGTTTTTGCATTCAGAAACTACATTGATCTAAGCACGAAAAGCAATAAGAGAAACCCACTCTTTACAGCCAGCTCCTAGATTCTAGGTTCCCATCCTTTACTCACTCCTAAACAGAGAAGCTATACATACATTGAGACATATGAATATATTGTATGCATGTGTGTGTGTATAGAATGCAAGAATAAGGAGTCGTCATGGTAGCAGATCTCTTTTTGGGCAACAGATCAACTTGATGTAGGTTATCCTTTGGCACAAATCATACCAACGACAATATTTGGAGGTTATTCTTCTCAATTATATACTTATTGGGCTGTATATTTCCCTACTATCAAAATAAGAGTGAGGCCAAACCTTTTATAATCTTTCAATTATAGTTAAATTGAGAGGCAAATCATCTGCCACTACTAGTTCTAACTGACCCATTGCTAACAAAAACCTACAGCTCAACTGATAAATAAACAGATCCACTAACCAATGACGAGCTTGATACTTAGAGCTCAAAATGAGGAACAGCCTAAAAAATGTCTCTGAGTAATATCCTAGAATGCCTACTTAATCACAAGAACTTTTTTTTTTTTTTTTTTTT